CCACCAAGGTTCGTGGCAAGGAAATTGCGCTTTCCGAAGGCCGTTTGGCCAAGCTCTTGAAATTGACCGCCACGGGTGTGTCCAACTATGACCGGAAGGGGTGGATTGATACCCAAACCACGGGGTACAAGGACTACCTCGGGTACCTACTCTGAAAGGAGGACGGGTTCACCTCGGCCACTCGACCAAACCGAAAGTGGCTATCGGCGGAGCAAAAGATATTGGTTATGATTGTAACCGATAGCCTCTTGCCCACCAATAACAAGAGCAAGGATGTGGGGAGCTTGGAGTGCACCTTTGCTTACTTCTTGAAACACAAAATCAAGTTCAACCTGCCGGCCCTCATGCTAAAACACATGGAGTTTTTCAAATCAAGCAACCGGCTTAGCCTACCCTACGGGATGATCCTAAGTTGGATCATGGAGAAGAAGGGGCTGGACCTAAGCCACACCGAGGTCAAGACCGCAAATGGCATGGTCTTTAACGCCCAGAACCTACGCCGCAATGATATCTTCTACACCGAGGGAGGACATTACCTCACCCTCGAAGAAATTTGCCAAAAACCCGAGGATGAACGAAGAGAATTGGTCGACCAATTAGACATTTCCAAAAAAAAGCTCAAACGAGCAATGCAAGATTGCGGAATTTTGGAGGGAAATGAGGACCAGGAGGAGGATGACGAGCCCAACCCAACAGTACAACCACGATCGGGAGGAAATCCAAAGGGGCAAAACGAGGGCTCAATCAATGAACGCATACTCGCACAGCTCAACCGGCAAAACCAAATCATGGAGGAAGGATTCTCATCCTTGATCCGTACGACACGTGCACTGGACCAGAGGGTGGCAGCAATCGAGGCCACCTTGGGCACTCGCGGGGCGTCTAGCTCAGGAGCAGGAGACCAAGGTAGACCTAAAACCCTTCTATCGCAACACCACCAGAAATCCAGTCTACCCCAGCTAAGGCAAAACGTGGGGCCACATTCCTAACTAGGAGGCCAAAATGCGGGATGCCTGGGGGTGAAAGAGTGGATTAACACACCGGGCTTCGGGGACGAAGCCACTCATAAGGGGGGGAGAGTGTAACACCCCGTGTTACGACCCCTAAGATCAATTAAATCATTTAATCAATTACCCAGAAGAAAGAATTAAATCACAATAATTGATTAGGAGGCCCACCATAGTCCACGGGCCCTTATCCCTAAAACCCAATCCTTAGTCCCAAAAGAAATAGAATTAGCAAGCCCATAATATTAGTTCCTGACTAGGACTCCTAAATATATAAATAGGGGACTTAAGAGGCACCTAGAAACCCCCCACCACAATAAACGCCCACTACCCCAAAGAGCTCCAAGAATCCCCTAGAAGAAATCAAGAAAGCAAGAAAGCTTAAAGAAAGACCCTTCATAGCCAAGGAATTAATTAAAGGCTAAGAGGTAACCCATGTCTCAACAAAACCTATTTTCATAGCTATGATTTCCCCCGTAGTATTTCCCCATATTATTGTGTATTGATGATTTGTGATATTATTATTGATGATTGATGGGATAATTCCATGGGTGATCTTGATATTGGGAGATTCTTGATAATTATGGTGTTCTTGATGATTATGTGGAGTTCTTGATGTTTATATGTCGTTCTTGATAATTGTATGGCATTCTTGATGCTTATGTGTTATTTGTACCGAATCTTGTAATTAGAAGACGAACCGTATTCTTGTTGATGCAAAAGTAATTAGAACCCTAGGTTGATGTTCTTGTTGGCGTTCTTGATGCTTGTGTGATGTTCTTGATGCTTATGTGATATTCTTACCGAATCTTGTAATTAGAAGACGAATCGTATTCTTGTTGGTATAAAAGTGATTAGAACCCTAGGTTGTATCGTACGATATTATTCTTGGTGTATCGGGTGGGGAAATCGCTTGTTTGGGTGTCGATTATGTTTAGAAAAGCATGATAGGTTATGTGCCGTACGTTTCTCGTATTTGATCCGTTAATTGTCTACGTGTTGATCGTTAATTGCGTTGTAAAGTGTCTAAGCATGGTTTCGGGTTCCACAATGGTTCCCGGGGCGTTTTTGCGATGAAAAGAGTCAGTGGGGGGTAGGTGGGGGTAGGGGACCCACCACCTACCCGCGGCCAAGACGGGCAGTCCTGGCAGCGGGCAGCCGGCGAGCGGGCGGCTGCCCCAGGGCACCCGCTGCCCGGAACAGTGCACGCCGGCGGGCAGCCGGCGGGTGGACCCCCACCCACCGGCTACCCGCTGGAAAATACCCCAACCCGGGGTTTCGGCTTCACCGTTTGATGTTTCCCCAACCCCCGTGGTGTCCCAACAGACTCCGTCTATCGTGCCTATGTCTAGTTTGATGTTTCGGGTACCGTTCGTAGGTTGTATGAGTCTTATGTATTGCATGCTAGTTGAATTGGTATCCCGTTGACCTAGGTGAAAGGATATGAACCCCTTAGGACCATTCTTAGTATGTGAAGGATCACGCATAGGTTTTGTTATACGTTTTCTCCCCCTTCCCAACGTGTTAATGTGGGATGCATGTACTTGCTATGTGTTATGTGTGTATGTAACCCCGAATTGGTTAAAGATCAATCGGGCTATACGGGCAGTCAGGTGGGCTGAGAACCATACCGGCTGTTAACCAGGCTGGTAGAGACCGGTCAGGTATATAAATATTATATAGGACTAAGTTCCACTATACGGGCAGTCGGATGGGTTGAGAACCATACCGGCTGTTAACCAGGCTGGTAGAGACCGGTCAGGTATATAAATATTATATAGCACAAAGGTCCACTATACGGGCAGTTGAATGGGCTGAGAACCATCTCAACTGTTAACCAGGCTGGTAAAGACCGGTCAGGTATATAAATATTATGTAGGACAAAGGTCCATCAGTCGGTTGCGATCGGCTCCTCCGTAATGTGAGACGGGGCAGGGTGCTGCAGGGCCGTGTCAGAGCTATATGCGCTGACCCTCATGTATGGGCATGCGATTGGTCCTGTGGCGCCAACAAAGTGTGCTATGTGATGAGATATGGATGGGTTGTGTTTATGAGTATATTGGGGGATGTGACTATGGGATTTATGCTAGGGATTGTTCATGTTGGATTATGATTATTAATTACGCTCAGCTTTATCTGTCTTGCCTGTTGTGGATTGTATACGCTTGTTATAACTGTTGCTTGTGTCTAGCCTTATCTGTAGAGTCATTCCCGGTTTTAACAGCTAGAGTCTCGTAGGATATATCTTCATGCTCAAAATGGTTTTCGTATATCTATATATATCTCTATATGTATTGTATTTCAACGCGTTGGAGTGGGTTACCAGCATCTCTCGCTGAACAAATATATTTGGCTTTCAGGCACAGAAGAATAGGTCACTGGAGTGCACTAGAGCTTGGAGCGTAGAAGTAGTTAGTTTCTCTTTCGGCCTGCGTGCCACGTTTATGGATTTATATTACTGGGACATTAGTTAGTTAGCCTGTGCACCTGACTTCTCTAGCTCAGGTGTGGCGTAGCACCCCGTACTCTCGTACTCTGATTGGGACTTAATGAGATTTCACCTTTATTTTATAAGTTTTTAAATATCTTGAAAATCTGGGGTGTTACAATCTTATTAGTCTAGGTTTAGCATCCTTTTTTGCCAACAAAAATTTTAGAGCAGAATGATCAGAATAAACAATCACCTTAGAACCAATCAAGTAAGAACGAAATTTTTCTAATGCAAAGACTATAGCCAACAACTCCTTTTCAGTAGTTGTATAGTTAGCCTGAGCACTATCCAAAGTTCTACTCGCATAATGAATCACATAAGGCATTTTATTAATTCTTTGCCCTAAAACAGCACCTATAGCGTAATCAGATGCATCACACATTATTTCAAAAGGAAACTCTCAGTTAGGTGCAGCATGAATGGGAGCAGAAGTTAATTTTTCTCTCAAAAACTTGAAAGCAGATAAGAATTCATCGTCAAATTTGAAAACAACATCTTTTGCAAGCAGGCTACATAAAGGCCTACAAATTTTTGAAAAGTTTTTTATGAAACGCCTGTAAAAACCTGCATGACCAAGAAAACTTCGAACCTCTTTCACAGATGTAGGGGGAGGTAATTTAGAAATAACATCAATTTTAGCCTTATCAACTTCTATTCCCCTGTCAGAGATTATATGTCCCAGAACAATGCCCTCTTTAACCATGAAATTACTTTTTTCCCAACTCAGGGTTAAGTTCATTTTGACACATCTTTCAAGCACAGAAGATAAATGAACAAGGAAATAATTAAAAGAATCACCAAACAGAGAAAAATCATCCATAAACACTTCAACATATCTTTCAACCATATCAGTAAATATTGACATCATACACCTTTGAAAAGTTGCGGGTGCATTACATAACCCAAATGACATTCTGCGATAAGCAAAAGTGCCAAAAGGGCATGTAAATGTCGTTTTTTCTTGATCTTCAGGCATAATAGGAATCTGAAAATAACCTTGAAAGCCATCAAGAAAACAGTAATAAGCATGCCCAGCTAATCTTTCTAACATTTGGTCAATAAAGGGCAAAGGAAAATGATCTTTTTTAGTGGCAGCATTTAATTTTCTGTAATCTATGCACATGCGCCACCCAGTCACTGTTCTAGTTGGGATTAATTCATTTTTTTCATTAGTGACCACAGTAATTCCAAATTTTTTCGGCACTACATGAATTGGACTTACCCATTTACTGTCTGAAATTGGGTAAATAATACCCGAGTCCAGCAACTTTAGGACTTCTGCCCGTACAACCTCCTTCATATTTGGATTTAACCTGCGCTGAGGTTGACGGACAGGAGTTGCGCCTTCTTCAAGTAGGATCCGGTGCATACACACCGTTGGACTTATTCCTTTAATATCTCCTATTGTCCAACCAATTGCACTTTTATATTTTTTTAAAACTTCTAGTAAACTTGTTTCTTGCTCAAGTGAAAGGTTAGAAGCAATTATTACAGGATAAGTCTTATTCGAACCTAAGAAAGCATATTTCAAAGAATTAGGAAGAGGTTTCAGTTCAAGCTTGGGTGGAACTTCAGCTTCAATGGAATGAGGGTGTACTTCCTCGGTTTGCTCAAAACAGCCTGTAACTGAACCTCCTTTACCACTTCCATCTGTTTTTGGGATTTGGTGAGGTTCGACTTCATCAGCCTCAGTCTCTTCGACCTTCAACCGATATTCATCTAAGAACTCAGCAGAAATTATTGAATCTAAAACATCTATAGCAAAACAATGATTATTATTGATTTCAGGGAATTTCATTGATTTCAGAACAGAAAATTCAACAGTTTCATCAAGGACAGTCATTGTTAATTTTCCACTTTGGACATCAATCATTGTTTTTGCTGTGGCCATGAAGGGTCGGCCAAGCAAAATAGGCATATCCTGCTCATGATTACACTTTTTATTTATGTCTAACACAACAAAATCAGCTGGAATTATCAATTTATCAACCTGGACCAAAACATCTTCTATAATGCCCCTAGAATATCTAATAGAGCGATCAGCAAGTTCGAGAGACATTGTAGTAGATTTCAATTTATCCAGACCCAATTGTAAATAAACAGAATATGGCATCAAGTTAATGCTTTCCCCTAAATCAAGCATTGCTGTTTCTTGCTTAGAATTCCCCACTGTAATAGTTATTATGAAACTACCGGGGTCCTCTAATTTTGGGGGCAAGTCAGTTTGAAAAACAGCACTTACAGTTTTAGACATAAAAACTTTTTCATTATGTTCATACCTACGCTTCCTGGTGTTCAGTTCTTTCAAAAACTTAGCATATGCATGCATATTTTTAATCATGTCTAACAAAGGCAAATTCGCATGCACTTTTGACAACAAATCATAAATTTCAAAAAATGATTTATCAAATTTTGAATTTTTCAATCTACCAGGGAATGGAACTGGGGAAACATAGGGCTTAGGGGGCACATAAGGATTAACAGATTTATGCAACTTGGGTTCATCCTTATTCACATCTTTATCAACATGCAAGTTTTCAACTATTTTAGTTGGTTGAGAAGTGGTATTCTCTTTCCCATTATTTTCAGTAATTTTACCACTTCTTAAAACAGTCATAACCTTAGCTTCTTCAGGTTGACTGGGTAATGTACCTGGCACATGGCCTTGCAAAGATTCAGCGATTTGCCCCACTTGTACTTCTAGTTTTCTTAAAGAAGTCTCATTTCTAGCTAGTGAAGCCTCATTCCTGGCAAGTGATGCCTCTGTTCGTTGGAACCGTTGATCATTTGTTTCTTGCTGCCGTTGGAAGCGTTGATCATTTGCTTCTTGGTACATCTGGAATGCTTCATGTTGCATCTTGAATTGCTGCTCAGTTGTTTCTTGATGTTTATTGCAGGCATGTACCAAAGTATTCAAGGAATCCTCCAAAGATGGTTTCCTTGGTTGAGGTGGAACAGTTGGTAGAAAATTATTTTGGTTATTGCCCCAAGATAAATTGGGATGATTTTTCCAACCCGGATTATAAGAATTAGAGTACGGGTCATTTCTCGACCTTTAATTAAAATTGTTCATTGCATTAGCCTGCTCAACATTGTTATTTCCTTCACTCACAACTGCATTCCTTTGGTTCATACTCATCATGGAGCACATACTTGTCATTTGTTTTGTTAATTCAGACATATAAGCTGTCAAATCAGGATTTGAGCTAACTTCATACAAACCTGGTGCCCGTCCCCTTATGCTTTTTTGTTGGGAGTTTGCTCCTAGCATTTCATACAATTCTAAGGTTTCCCCCGCAGTTTTGTCACCCATGGCACCTCCAGCCGCATTATCAACTATTGATTGGCAAGTTTGGGTCAAACCATCATAGAAGGTTTGATTTTGCAGCTCCAATGGGTAACCATGGTGGGGGCATTGAATGAGCAACATTTTGAACCTTTCCCATGCCTCATGAAACGGTTCGCCTTCAGCTTGCGAGAAAGTTGCAATTTTTCTTCTCAATTCAGAAATTTTAGCATGGGAATAAAATTTACCTATGAATTTATTGTACACCTCCGGCCACGTCCGAAGGGATCCAGGCGTGAGAGACATGAACCATGTCCTTGCTGCATCTTTCAAGGTATAAGGGAAACACCTCATTCTCAATTCATCCTCCGTTAGGTCATTCAACGGAAAGTTTTGGACTACCCCGTAGATATCCCGAATGAAGGTAGGGCATCCTCGGTTGCCGGGCCATGAAAAGACGGTAATTGATTATAGTGGATCGTCTTTAGCTCATAATTCCTGCCTGCATTGGTAAGCACTATACAAGAAGGTGAATTTCCTACTTCGGGCCTACCAAAGTCTTTCATCAGCCTAGGGTTGAGCCTGGGGTTGGGGTTAGGATTAGGATTAGGATTGGGGTTGGGATTGGGTGGAGGAAGTGCAGCCATAGTTGTGGTTGTTTCTTGTGGTTCAAAAATAAATATTCTTTTCTTTTTCCTATTAATATGGTCGTCTAAAGGTAACAATTTAGGGTTTAAAAAGAACGACGACCCTGCATTAAATAAATAAATAAAATAACAAAAATAAATAAATTCAAACAAATAAATAAAATCACGGGAGTAAAAAAAAAATAATAATATAAAAAAAAAAACAAGAAAAGGAACAAATGGCAATAATAGTAGAAAAAAAACAATCAAATTGCACAGTAAACAAATTCCCCGGCAACGGCGCCAAAATTGATAGACAATTTTAATATTGTCCTCGCAAGTGCACGAGTTATTGTAGCAATAGCGGGCAAAGGCAAGGGTCGATCCCACAGGGAATTATACGATGCAATTTAATAACAATGCAATTTAATAAACTTGAAAATAATTAGATCGATGAAATAAAAGAGTTTAACAAGAAATCTGAATTGTAGAATAATTAAATCAAAAGCATGCAGAGAACTTAAAGAAAATAAATAATCATCAAAAACTAAAGAACAAAAGGAAATCGCAGGGAATTAGATATGTAACAGAATGATAAAAATCTAGGGAAACATTTTAAGATTCAAAAATAAAGAAATGTTTTAAAGTACTCAAAGTGTAATATCAGTAGTAAAAACTAACCAAATGCTATGCAGAAACCCAAGGAAAGAAATGAGCAACTTATAAAGTTGAAAATAATTAACTTGATAATTTAAAGTGCATGCTAGAATCAAATGTCGAAGATAAGTTCAAATGCAAAGTAATTGAACCAAGATTAAAAGCACCAGATAATCAAATAACGAATATAAAGTTTAATAACATTCGATGAAATTGGCCAGACTTCAACTTAATGAATTACAGTTCAAAACTTATGATAAAACAAAATTTGATTAGCAAGATTAAAACTTAAATGACTGCAAAATCTTCATGTTAATTAAAACCATATTCCTAAGCCATAATGAAATTCACACTGACACATACTATGCATTGCCTTTAAACAAATAGCAAATGAATATTTAAAACACTAAGCAATTCCAGAAGAAAACGACAAAAGCAAGTGAATTAAAGAAAACAAAGGAAGAATTCTTAAGCACGCTGCCCAAAATTACCGTCTTATAATATAAACTAAGCTTAAAGCAAATATAATAACAATTTGACATTAAAAGCTCAGTTTACAACTCACAAACTAGAATCTGAATGATTAACAAAGTGCATGGCAATTGAAAAAGAAGAAATTAAAACCCGGAAAAGACTTTCACTGCCAACAAAAGAGGCTGCTGCTGCCGGAAATTGCCGCCGAAACACCAAACCAGTTGCCGGACGCCGCCAAGAGTAGAACCGGTCGTTGTCTTCCGGAGTTGCTCCGGAGAGATTGATGATGACCCACTTGATGTTTTCTGCCCAATATTTATAGTCTTCAGCCCAACCGTAACGCTGCGATTCCAATGAAGAATAGCCACAACAGTCCTTGATCTAAGGGATGCCACAGAACTTCTTGCCAGAAACAGTCGGACGTCCAAGGACTGGAGCCTCTATCGTCCGCGTCGTTCGCTTCTGTTCACGCATGCGGCGTTGATCTGCATTTAATTTGGGATGGGAACAAACTACTAACATAATAATAATAAAAATAAAAATAAAAATAATATTATAATAATAATAATAATAACAATAATAATAATAATAATAATAATAATAATAATAAAACTGAGGTTGAGAAATTAGTGCTGATAAATTTAACAAAAACTAAACAAAAAATATTAAAAACCCAAACATTATTAAGTATTAAAATAAATGAAAATAAATGCATAATTAATTAAAATTACTAATGAATAATAAAAAGAATTAATATAAATTATCAATACAAATAATGTTTATCAAATCTCCCCACATTTATTTGCTTGTCCTCAAGCAAAGACACTATTAAAAAGAAAAGAAATTAAAATAAAATCAAGCATAAGATCGAGTTGTACGCAAATAGCCTTTCCAATTTATTTTCCTCATCAATGCAAAGTTAATGCCAACTCAAAGAATGTATAAAATAATTGACTAGAAATTAAAACCTTTAACAACTAGAATAAATATAAAACTTGTGCTCGTGTGCTGACACCCCTTATATGAATTATACAAAAACTCAATAGAAGAATATGAAAATTTTACCAAATTCAACCTAAACCAAATTCAGAAATATTCTATCACAGTGCAGGTGCAAAACATGAAGGAAATAAGGATCAAGGCATTTATTAAAATTGGAATGCAATTGCTCATCTTTTCCAAAGTTCACTCATTATTTTTCTATTTTGTTTTATTAAACCATCACAATAATGCCTAACTTATACAATAACACACAACTGATCTAAACTAACATGAACAACAATAAAATTTCTAAAATATATTTCAAATAAATAAAATTAAATTAAAAACTTAATATTATATATATATATATATATATATATATATATATATGTGTGTGTGTGTATATATATACCTTGTGGCGAGCTTGCGGCGAAGACGGGAGACCAGTGGCGGCAACGACAGGGCTGGAGATTGGTGGCGATGGAGGAGTGCGATGGAGGGGAATGACGTGGAATAGTGTGGGGTTGTGCAACGAGAAGACGATAGGAAGACGATGGAGAAGATGCGGCGGTGAGAAAAAGTTGTGCGATGGAGGAGTTGTGGAGGAGTACGACAGATGACTGATTTTTGACAGAGGAGTTGCGGGGTGTGGGGAAGACGAGGGGTTAGGGGTAGTTTTGTTTAGAAAAACCCTAACAATCTGCGTCTGATGTTAGGAACATCGGACGCATATTATATTATCGCGTTAACTATATGCGGCCGAAGTGCGAGAGCTTTGGAAGCATATAGTTCTTCTAAATAAGCAGCTCCACAATCTGTGTTGTTTTTAATTTTAAAAAAATAAAAAATTAATTATATAGTGTCATTTTAATTACAAAAGTGCCACCGCCCCCACTTTACGCGTTCGATGTTTAAACTTCGGGCGCATATTCTTTTATATATATATATATATATATATATATATATATATATATATATATATATATATATATATATATATATCATTTTTGTAGTAGTGAATTATGCCCTGAAGGCTTATGATTGTATTCTTTTTCTTTTAACTAAGTTTTTTTTCGCACATAATTTTCTTAAGTTAATATTTTTAATGAGGCAACCGAAACAACACATGCATTACCCATATATCGTGTACTCTTTCCTCGACTAAGTTTTTCCTACGGGGGTTTTCTAGCAAGTTTTTAACGAAGTAGTAAAAAGCGAACCACTAAACTAATAAAACCAAAAACTCAGTCATAAATTCTAAAATTGAAACCCTAAGTGCAAGTGCAATCTTTTAACACTAAATGTGCAAAATGTTAATGCTAAATGTGAAATATGTTAAAACTAAATGTTCAAACCTAGAAAATTCTAAGAAGTGTAGGTTTTATTTTTCAAGTTTTCAGAGTAAAATTGGTGATAATCACGAATCTGGAAAATTCGTTGGTTGCTACGACGGTATACGGCTGGCTAGCGGCGAATGGTATAGTGACAGACAGACACTGTGGTTTTATTTAGATTATTTATTTTGATTTTTAATTTTAATAAATGTCTATTTTTATTTTGATTTTTTCAATTTGCATACATGGTCCAAATGCTGAGACATTTATAGGTAAATAACAGGTTTCTAAGTCTGAATAAACAAAAAAAAAAAAAAAAAAAAAAAACACACACAAGCTATTGGGTTTAATTAATTACTAGTTTAAAATATTTAGAGGTCTAATTGACTTCTCATATAAACTTCAGAGGCTTATTCTACCCGTTAACCAATATATTTAATGAAAATTTTTAAAAAAATAACTTTATTTTTAAAATTATGATAAACGTACAACTGATTAC